TGGATGGGGGGAACAGCGTTTTTAAGCCCGTTTCAAATGAACTTTGTGTGTCCAGGTCCTCGATGACCCGCTGTATACCAGGAGTAGCTGTTTGTTTCCAGTTTTGAGCAATTAAGCGCTGTGCTGTTAAGATTATATGTAACAAGAGTTTTTGCTTGGCTTTGGGCAGACCTTTCGGGAGGTCGGTTATCAACATCTGACGGGGCGCAAAAGGGATAGAGCAGCCAGTCGCCGCTTGTGCAATTTTATGGATACCCGCCCAGAAGGTCTGGATGCGGGGGCACGACCACCAGATGTGCAGGACAGTGCCCTCGGCCCCATTGCAGCGCCAGCACGTGTTGGAAGTATTAGGAAATAGTTTGTGTAGCCTGCTCGGTACCATGTACCATCTATAAAGTGTTTTGTGAATTTGCTCTAGATGTGCGGATGATTTGATCAGGAGCCGGGGCAGACGGAATATGCGCTCCCAGTCTTTACTCAGGAGGGAGCAGTTTAGGTCCGCTTCCCACATCTGCGCTGTTTTTGAGGCAGCGAAGGGTAGGTGGCGTGAAAGTAGCTTGTAACTCATGGAGATCGGTTTACATGCAATGGGTAGTAGTCCCTTAATAAGCATTTGTTCCCACACCGTTGGGGCCTCTGGAGGTAGGTTGGGCCCAGCATCTCTACAGTAGAGTTTGGTCAGAAACGACCGTAACTGGATATAGGAGTAGTGTGATGTAGGAGGCAATGAGTATCGGGTTTGCAACTCTTCAAAGCTAAGCATTTTGCCCTGGTCGTACAGGTGCGTCAGGTGAGTGACACCCCGGGCCTCCCATGGCATGGCATGGCATGGAAAGTGGGAATGCAATATGTGAAGGACTTTATCGGTGTTGCCAGGGAGAGCCCATTGTGGCCGCTAAACTGTGCTGCACTTTTGTCCCAGAGCCGTAGAAGTAGTTTAATTGAGTGGGGTGCTAGGGGCCACTGCGGTCTAGACTTTTTTGGTATCCATACCACGTCGGCCAGTGTGTGGGGGGCCACCAACTCTCGTTCTAGGTGTACCCACTGCAGTGGTGGTGTTTGGAGGAAATGTGGGAGGGCAGTGGCTATAACCGTTGCATAGTAATACGTGTGTACGTTTGGGTGCATTTAGTAAGTTCTGTGCCACTCTAGGTTTGCCCCCCTTCCATACAAAGTGGTTTATGTCTGATTGGACCATTTTAAGAAAGGATCTGGGGAGTTCTAGTGGTAGGTTATGAAACAGATATAGTAGCCTAGGGAGGATTGACATTTTGATCGTTATAATTCTTTACGTCCAGGACAGGTATAGTGGTGACCATTTTTTGAGTAAGTTACGGCAGTTGTTTCATACTGCCACATAATTTGCAGCGAATAGGGCAGTGTGGGCCTTCGTGTATGTAATCCCTAGATATGTGATAGTATCAGACCTCCATTCGAACGTATATTCCCGTTGGAGTTGGGTGATTAGGGTGGTTGGTAGGGATATGCCGAGTGCCTGGGTCTTGGATGTATTGAGGGAGTAGTAGGACACCCTCCCATACTCCTTTATCAGTTGCATAACTGCCGGGAGTGTAGTGTGTGGATGTGTCATGTAGAGTAGAATGTCATCCGCAAAGGCTCCTACTTTGACCACTTTGTGGCCGATCTTAACCCCCTGGATTTCCTCATGTACTCTGATCCCTTCCAACAAAGGTTCTAGGGCCAAAACGTATAGCAGCGGGGAGAGCGGGCATCCCTGCCTCGTACCATTTGTGATCTGGAAGGGGGAGGAAAGGAACCCCGACTGGAGTACCTGTGCTGAAGGATTCGCATAGAGCGCGAATATTTGTCGACAAATCTGAAGCGGGACCCCATATGCCTCCAACACCCCCTGAAGGAAGGGCCAGCCAAGGCGATCAAACGCCTTTTCGGCATCTAGCGCTAGCAGGAGACCACCCCCTCTGGCCCCCCTGAGCTGCTGGAGGACCACCGACAATTTCCGGGTGTTATCCATGCCCTGCCTTCCTTTTACGAAGCCTGTTTGATCATCATTGATGAGGGAGGGTAGCAAGGGGGCAAACCGGTTTGCCAGGATTTTTGCATACAGTTTAGCGTCTGTGTTGAGCAGGGAGATGGGGCGGAAGTTTTTACAATGGTCAGTCGGTTTACCGGGTTTCGGTAGAGTCACTATAGTGGCCCGCAGCATTTCTGCCGGCAATGCTCCTCTCTCCATCGCCTGGTGGAAGGTTTCCAGCAGGTGTGGTGCCAATGTCAGGGCATATTTTTTGTAGTAGAGGTTTGAGAGCCCATCCTCTCCGGGGGACTTGCCATTGGGCAACTCCTTGATAGTGTCTAATATCTCCGTCACCGTGAGGGGGCATGTCAGGGTTTCGATTTGGCTACTCGATAGTTGGGGCAGTTTGATGCGGTCGAGAAATGTTTTTACTTCAACTACCGTAGGGGTGTGCGTATCGGGGTCGTCCTTCAAGTTATACAGTTTGGAATAGAATTTGGCGAACGTATCGCCAATCTCTTGGGGCCCTAGTTTTTTTGTCCCATCTACCCCTAGTATGTGCGCTATTTTATTAGTTGCCAGTTTGTCTCGCAGTCTTGCTGCCAGGTACTTGTTGGCTTTCCCACCTGAGTGATAGGTAGTCGCTCTCAGTCTGTTTAATAAGTACTCAGTTTTCGTTGCGTTCAGTGCATGTAGTTTACGGTAGGCCTGCTGGAGTTCCGCAGCAAGTACCTTAGTGGGGTTGGTTTTATTTCTAGCCGTCAGTGCTGCTATTTGTTCGTGACATCGGAGGAGTTCTCCCTGTCTCTGCCTTTTTAAATGTGTGGCTCTCTTAATGAATAGGCCTCGGACGACCGCTTTATGTGCTAGCCAAACCGAGGTTTCTGATACCTCTCCCCCGCCATTCAGACGGAAGAAGTGGCCCAGTTCGTCGTTTATTAGTGTAGCAAAGGAGTTGTCAGAGAGTAGCGACTCATTGAGTTTCCAGTTCCCTCACCCCTTGAATTGGAACGCGTCGTGTAATGTGAGATAAATTGGGCTGTGATCCGACCAAGCAAATGAGCCTATTTTACATTCCGCCATTTGGGCCAGAGACCTGCTATCTACTAGGAATGCGTCGATGCGGGAATGGTATTATGCACCGCGGAGTGGAACGTGTAGTCCCTCTCCGTGGGGTGTGTGACCCTCCAGCCATCGTACAGGCCGTGTTTTGAGATCAGGGTGGTGAGGCTTTTGCATGTGTTGGATAGGCGTCTACCCCTATTACGGGATGGCGTAGCTGATGTGTCCAGTTGTGGTGACTGGATGAAGTTAAAATCCCCGCACAGAATTAGGCCTCCCTGTCGGTGGTCCTCCACAATTTGGAGAAGTTTGTTTAAGAAATTTGTCGAGTCGGAGTTGGGAAAGTAGGCTGTAACCAGTGTGTATTGTGTGGTATTAAAAAGGCCCACTAATATAATAAATCTCCCCTGTGGGTCAATGTATTGGCTCTGGACCTCCAGAGCTATGTCTCTGCTGATGAGAATTGACACCCCTTTCGTCTTGTTGGCCGACCGGGCATGGAATTGAGTAGGGTAGTGTTTAGCGAATAACTTTGGTTCCATGGAGGACTTAAAATGGGTTTCCTGGATACACGCTATATCTATATGTTGGTGTTGGAGCGTCTGAAATAATAGGCTTCTTTTATTTGGGGAATTAAGCCCCTTTACGTTATAGGAGACTATTTTCATGATAGAGTATTAGCGTTTGAGTGGGTGGTGGCTCATGGCTCCCATAGTGAGAGCGCACATGTGACGTGTGTTGTACAGCGTGCGGTACACAGTATCGCATAACAGATTAATAAGCGTTGTGATGGTGCAGTTGATCGAAATCCAACTTGGCTGGGGGGGGGTGGGGTAGGAAAAAACAGAGGGGAACATTTAGAACAAGTTACAAAGAGCTCAAACCTCTTGAGCTATATTGTGCCTAGTGCTACTGGGCACAAGTAGCGGGTGACGTGGCTATAGGTCAGTCTGGTGTGGTAACGACCGTATCTAGGAGGGGGGGGGGTAGGGAGTCACGCGTAGGGGACCATGGAGTGAAAATGGCACGTGAGTACTGGGATATAAGAGACCTCGCTGCAGGACGCTTAACCACCTTGTGTCAGTGCTCTGCTCTGTCAGTGCTCTGTTAACAGGAGCAGGTGCGGTGCCTTGAAGTGTGACTGCTATTGGGCAGCGCCTATTCTAGCCGTCAACTAAAAGTTGCTGTGGTTAACATGTACAGTAGGTGATGCACACAACAATAAGCATTATACAAGCCTATCTCAGGATAGCAAATGAGCAGGGACACAACATTAAAGTTAGAGTGGTTAATAAGACAGTGGTTCAGCAATCATGCAGCGTATACTCAGCCTTCACGTTAGGCTCTGGACCAGTCCACCGACAGTCTTGGTATTTTTTTAGCAGGTTGCACCGGTACATCCGGCTTGGGGAGCCCCCAGTCGTCCAGCTTTTTCAAGCCTTCTTCCACTGACGTGATAGGGTGGTTGGAGTTGTCGTGGTGGACGATAAGTTTCGCTGGGAAGCCCCACCGGTACGGAACCTCCTGCGCTCTCAGTGCGGTGGTGATAGGTGCGAGTGATTTGCAAAACTGGAGTGTGTGCGCTGACAGGTCCGCAAAAATCTTCAGGTTTCCATATTGGGAGGGTAGGTTATCTTTTCTAGCTGCTTTGACAATCTTCTCCTTGACATGGAAGAAATGCACTCTGGTGATTACATCTCTGGCCGTTGAAGTAGGAAGGTGCTGAGGTCTCCTGAGTCTGTGTGTTCTATCTAGAACTACCTGATCTGGATGAACCTCTGGGATCAGTTCCAGGAAAAAGGCCTGGAGGTAATTGTGCAGGGCTTCATTTGTAATTGATTCAGGAATACCTCTGATGCGCAGATTATTTCTCCTGGATCTATTCTCCAGGTCAGCAAGTTTCATGTTTTGTTCTTGGATAAGCTGTTGCATCTGGTGTAGCTGGTCAGCCATGCTGTTGTGCGCGGAGGCATGTTTGCATGATTGCATTCTCTATATGGGATGTGCGTAGGCCCAGGTCCTGTATGTCTCTTTTAAACTCGCCTACCAGTGTTTTGAGCTGCCCCTCAATGGTGCCTTGTATCTGCATTGTGAAGTCTGCCATAAAGGACTTCATTGTGGCCAGCGTGAGGGGGCTATCCTCTAGTAGTGAGGTGGGTGAGGAGGGAGGAGATGGAGAGACCTCCCTGGATCCGTGGCCGCCGCCATCTTGGATTTCCTCGCGGCTTTGCTTTCCGTGTGCAGCTTTCGCCATAAAGAACATTGTTTTGTCGGCTTTCGCCGGTCTTTTGGCGGATCTATGGGACATTGCGCCGGTCCCCACTTGTTCAGTGCCGAGGGTAAGTCTGTAGCCCGTTTATTTTCCCCCTATATAGCGCGGCTCCCTGGAGCTCTAGCAGAGCACGTCCATGCGGCTCCGGTGATAGGCCCTGACTGGTATTTTAAGGCCCATACTGTATTTGAGGCTGCCTGGTCGGTGCTGAAATTTCAGTAATACCGGCAATACAAATGCAGATATTTTTCTCAGTATAAATGGTGATTACTCTGCAAGACCAGCACCAGCCAGTAGGGGTCACTGTATGTGGAGAGAGGCAGGGATAGGAAGTTACAGCATATCCCTCCCTGCCTCTCTCTACTAAATGATCCGTGGGGGAGCAGCTACACAGCACAGAGAGTTCAAACAGCAGCTCCCAGCCTGCAGAGACAGCCTTCAGCTCAGGGAAGTGAAGAATGAGGGGAAAGGCAGCAGGGAGACATGGGGACACTGAAACACTAGGGGACACTGAAAAACTAGAGGACACTGAGACACTTGGGGACACTGTGAGACATAGGAACATTGGGAGACACATTGAGACATGGAGACACTAGGGACACAGTGTCTCCATGTCTCCCCGTGTCCCCATGTCTCCCAGCCAGTGTCCCTAGTGTCTGTGTCCCCATGGCTCCCAGTGTCCCCTAGTCTCCCAGTGTCTGTGTCCCAATGTCTCTCAGTGTCCCCATGGCTCCCAGTGTCCCCAAATGTCTGTGTCTCCATGTCTCCCAGGTCTATGTCCACAAGTGCCCACATGTCTCCCAGTGTCTCAGTGTCCCCATGGCTCCCTGTGTCCCCTAGTCTCCCAGTGTCTGTGTTCCCATGTCTCTGTGTCCCTAGTGTCTCAGTGTCCCCATGTATCCCAGTGTCTGTGTCCCCATTTCTCCGAGTGTCCCCATGTCTCCCTGTGTCTCTATGTGTCCCCATGTCTGTATCCACAAGTGCCCCCATGTCTCCCAGTGCCCCCAAGTGTCTCAGTGTCCCCATGTCTCACTGCTTCTCCATGTCTCTCAGTGTCCCCTAGTATCCTAGTGACACGGGACACACTGAGACATGGGGACATTGGGAGAAATAAGGACACAGACACTGGGAGACTAGGGCAACATGGGGACACTGACGTACATAGGGACACTGATGCCAGGCTGGCCTTCCAAATCTTTGGACAGACAGCCTCCTTTTTGGGGCATATTCACCCATTTTCGCATTTCTGGTCATGTGATTTGCGTCAGTGGCCCACCACCCCTAGCCCATTGACTTCCTGCTTCACTGGACACTGCTGTTAGGGGGTATGGATTTACTTGAAAGATGAAAGCATAACTTAGAGAGAGATTAGCATAGAGCAGTGGTAGTCAACCTTTTTCTACCTACCGCCCACTAAAGCATCTTTCTTGATGGAAAAATTTCCTTACCGCCCACCAGTTTTCACGCAAGTGCGGAATATTTTTTTAGAAAGGAGGGTGTTTTTTAAAAGAAAAATAAATGTACAGACATTTATCTTTTTATTTCTACTTAATGCATGTTTATAATGTTTTTAACTTTATAAAGTTTAATGAGAAAACAATAAAGTAAATTGAAATGACCTTTACTAGTGATTAATGAGATCCTTTAGGTTGATGCTGCGAGACTAAATATTTGCTATCTGGTTCGATTTTCATAAGGAACAAACAAAGGTCTCCTCTTTTGGTGATATTCTGTTTGCGCATAATATGATTTCTCATCTGTGCGTCAGCTCATCTCCTCTCCCTCCTCAATTCCCCTCCCCACGTTTTTTCCCTTTTTTCTATATTTTAACCTTCCTTATAGCAATGCCCAGTAGGAAAGCTGAGCTAGGTAGCCCACGTACTATAGCCCACTATAACAGACAGGCACAGATACATATATACAGACACACACACAAGACACACATACAAAGACACATACATACAAACAGACAGGCACACATACAGACACACACACAAGACACGCATACAAAGACACATACAGGCACACATACAAACAGACAGGCACACATGCAGACACACACACAAGACACATACATACAAACAGACAGGCACACATACATACAGACACACACACACATACAAAGACACACACAAGACATACATAGACACATACACACAGACAGACACAAGACACACATACAAAGACACATACATAAGACAAAGACATACACACACAACACAAACATACAAAGACAAGACACACATACATACACACATATATACAGACAGACACACACACACACACACAAGACATACATACAAAGACATATACACACACAGACAGACACACACACACACACACGACATACAAAGACACACACAAGACATACATACAAAGACACATACACACAAAATATTTTAGTCACCCTCCTGTTTCCTACCTTTTAGGTGCAGGAGGGTGACATTCCCTGGGGTCCAGTGGTGGCTCAGGTGGATGGGAGTCAGAGTTCCTACTCTGACTCCCTGGTCTTCCTCCCACGCGGTCTGTGTGTTAGCTGGGAGGAGTGACATGCAGTCACTTCCTCCCAGCTCTGTGATGTTAAAGCGCCCAGTGCTGACCGGGCGCCCTTATAATCCACATCCATCGGGTGGCCCTGACAGCATGGGCCACCCGATGGACCCCTTGGACGGCTGCAAATGGTCGCAGGGGTACCGCCGGCTCGCACCTGCTCAGTCTCTCAAAACAAGGAAATCCCTACCGCCCACCTGGAATTCTGAAACGCCCAGAAGTGGGCGGTAAGGACCAGGTTGACAACCCATGGCATAGCGTATGTGTTTTCTTATAGCTGCATCCTTTGAGTTTCCTCCAACACCATCTCCATCAGATACATGATGCTTGAGAGGTATGACTGTTTTAGTGTTTTTGGTTGATAAGGTTCTGTAATTAGGCCCATCATAATTGTCAGCACCAAGCCCACTGGGCTCTTAATCCCTTAAGGACCAAATTTCTGGAATAAAACGGAATCATGTCACACGTCATGTGTCCTTAAAGGACCACTATAGTGCCAGGAAAACATACTTGTGTTCCTGGCACTATAGTGCCCTGAGGGTGCCCCCACCCTCAGGGTCCCCCTCCCGCCCGGCTCTGGAAGGGGGAAAGGGGTAAAAATTTACCTTTTTCCAGCGCTGGGCGGGGAGCTCTCTGCCTCCTCTCCTCCTCCGATCCGCCCCGTCGGCTGAATGCGCACGCGCGGCAAGAGCTGCGCGCGCATTCAGCCGGTCGCATAGGAAAGCATTTACAATGCTTTCCTATGGACGCTGGCGTGCTCTCACTGTGAAAATCACAGTGAGAAGCACGCAAGCGCCTCTAGTGGCTGTCAATGAGACAGCCACTAGAGGATTAGGGGGAAGGCTTAACCCATTCATAAACATAGCAGTTTCTCTGAAACTGCTATGTTTATAAAAAAATGGGTTAACCCTAGAAGGACCTGGCACCCAGACCACTTCATTAAGCTGAAGTGGTCAGGGTGCCTAGAGTGGTCCTTTAAGGGGTTAATCTGGCCCTGGTCACGCATCCTCCTTCTGACATCATCAGGAGAGGCCAGCTGACTCCCATGGCTGCTCTGTGCTGGCTGCAGGCTTCTGCTCCAGGCTCAGGTAAGATTCAGTGGTTGGGGGATTTTTTTTACAGCCCCTGCCCACCACTTCTATAGTCCCTATGTCCCCTCTCAAGCCCATGTTTCCCTTTCTATAGCCCCGGCCCACCCCTTCTTTAGCCCCTGCCCCCTCTACAGCCTCTGTTCCCCTTTTTATATGCCCCTGTGCCCCTTTTACAGCCCCTGCCCACCCCTTCTGTAGCCCCTGTGCCCTCCCTTCTACAGCTCCTGCCCATCCCTTCTATTGTCCCTGTGCCCTCCCTTCTACAGCTCCTGCCCATCCCTTCTATTGTCCCTGTGCCCCTACCCACCCCATCTATAGCCCCTGTGTACCTCACCACAGCCCATACCCCCGACTCTAGAGCCCATACCCCCCACTCTACAGCCCATGTTCCCACTCTACAGCCCATGCCCTCTCTCAGCCCTTTCAGCCCCTGTGTTCCCCCTCTACAGCCCCTGTGTTCCCCCCTCTACAGCCCCTCTGCCCCCTTCTACAGCCCTGTGTCCCCCCCTCTACAGCCCGTGTCCTCCCCCCTCTACAGCCCCTGTGTCCTGGGCTGCACAGTGTGTGTGTGGGGAGGGGAAGGGGGTTGTATTCTTCACACTGTAGTGTTCCTTTACATGTAACTTCACTCTAGTCCTTAACTCGATAATCCTAGCAGGCCTTAAACTACAACTTCAACCCCTGTCAAGCTGTTAATCATCCTCTCATCACTTTATTGCATCAAAACACACTGCTTTGCCTTTCTGAATATATATTTAGTAAAATAATGAAATATAATGTGGGAACATTGAGAAGCTGCCCTTCCATGAGGCAGGATCAGTTTTACGAGGAAACAGCTTGCAACTTACTAAATTCATGCTGATATTATTAGTATTTAAATGGCTTGCTTATAATAACTGATGGAAAAGCAAATATTATAGTTTGGTGGATACAGGAAGCCCAACAATCTTGGCTTACTTCAAGCAACACAGGAGATGTGGGAAGTGAATGTGTCCTTACTGGAATAGCAAATCCACACTCCTCAAGCGTTCTGTACTCCACATAGAGGCTCCATTGCCCAAGAGAGAGATAATATTCCTATCTACATGTTCAATCATCATTTTTTAAATAAGAAATGCAGGCTGAACATCTGGCAATCAGCTGGGAAAATGGAAGAATATATAACCTTTCACATTAGCTCTCTCCAGCTGATTCGAACTGAGTGACACACACACACACTTAGAAACATAGAATGTGACGGCAGATAAGAACCATTTGGCCCATTTAGTCTGCCCAATTTTCTAAATACTTACATTGGTCCCTGGCCTTATCTTATAGTTAGGATAGCCTTATGCCTATCCCACGCATGCTTAAACTCCTTTACTGTGTTAACCTCTACCACTTCAACTAGAAGGC